AAAGTGAATCCCACACATGGTGTGATCAATTGCGATAAATTAAAACTGAAATTATTTATATTAGTTTTAATTTATCACACGATGTGTGGGATTTACTTTGGATCGGGGTACGTTTCCTCCTGTTAGAAGAAGGTGCATTAATGGAGGGTCAATCGCAGTTAATTTGAAAAATATCTCAATCACTAACTAATTATATGGGGGATACTTAGAATACTCTGATTGTGAAGAATTTAAGAAATAATTCACTTATTCTATTTATATTTAATTCATAAATAATTCAGGTTTATATCATAAATATTTAATTTTGTTATTTAAAGTTTTAAAATATAGCCTTAATAACTGTATATTTAATCTACTCTATTTCACTATCATAAACTAGATTGGCAAGTTCATCAAAATCATCCCAAAAATCATTTATTTCTTCACCACTGGATAAATAATTAGTTTCTTCATCGTCAACTTCTTGTTCAACATCTGATGACCATACTGGTTCATTTTCAACATCATTTTTTGCTTCATCATTTTTATAAATGACCCAAAGATTCCAATAAATATATACTAACTCTTCAAGTCATTTATTTGTTAAACGATTTCGCTTCTTAGTATGTATATGAGAGAATACTGACCAGTTGCATTCAGAACTTGCAGAAGATGTTGGCATAACAAAAATTCGAGTACAGAATGATTGAAGAAATTTCAACCCAAATCTATATGCTATATAATAGTGCTAATTAGTTTATTTGAATAAAATAATCAATTATTATAAATCATGCCAGTGGCATTGTAGTTTTGTTGGAAATATTTAGAGTTAAAAATTAGAGACTATAGACTAAAAATTAAAGCTAAAAATAAAATTAGGATAAGGATATTAAACATTTTTACTTAATACATCCAATTTAGATGATTTTGAAATATAGCAGCTGTGGTGTTAAACATCGCTAGTGTGATTTAACAATACTAAAAATAATTTATATCAAATATTTCAGTATTTATCATTCCACTATTCATGAGGATGTAAGTCTTTTGCAGCTTTTTGTAAGGTAATGTTGGTATCGAGAAGAGTTACTAGTTCTCCATATTCTCTATATAATCCAGCATGTATTTCTTTTTCAGATTTAGAAATAAGATTACTAATATATGGCGTAACATCTTGAAATAGTTGGGTTAATGCAGGAACTATAGGATGAAAATACTGATGCAGATAAAAACGGCCATCAAGAATATATGTTAATAACATTATAGGTGTTTGCATATAGTTAAATCATTTAGTAATAATTTCTACTACAGAATTTTGAATAGGACTTGCAATGTTGCATTCTAAATTTTTCAAATCATTCATTTCTTTATAAACAAGAGACAAAGTAGCTGAATCGTTTTCAAATTTAGTAATGCCTAGATATATATATAAAATATATAAAATTTAAAAAAAATTTTTACTAAAATAAAGTTATTAAATCATACATTTTACAATTGGGTGTAATACTTCAGCTAAAACTAAAATATTATCCCATTTATCCTCATTGGCAATTAAAATTCTAATTTGGCGATCTTGCTGAGTTCAAGCAGGTATCTGATTATTTTCCAATACTCTCTAAATAATAGATTATGATTAATATGAATTTTTGAATATGTTTGTCACGTAATTTTAGAACAGAGATAAAAGTCTATATATAATCGAAAAAAAGTGACCAGGTTAGTAAAATAAAGAATATCAGTAAAGAAAAAAATATAAACTAAATAACTCACGTGATGCATGTACTAAAAGATATATATACAAATAATCAAATCAAAATTAGATAAGTTAATATAGTATAACTGGTATTGGCATATATGGTAAATAAAAGATACAGTAGTTTTTTATTTAAGAAAATTGAATATATACATATGTACATACGCACATACGTACGTATATACATACGTATACTAAATATATATATATATTTGGTAATATATACAAGCAAGATCTTGTGAAGCATTCTTTATAGCAACCAGGTACTATATCTAGTAATTTTTATAATGACAAACCTGAATACTGCTTTTTGATTCTAATAATTTTTCAAGTACTGCTAATTGAGTTCCCCATCTTGTTTTTACAGGATTCACTAATGCAATAGTTTTATTAATTTCTTGTTTTTGAGTTTCACGAAGATGTGCTTTTAATACTTGATGAGAGTTAAAATAATTAGCAATTTTACTTGCTATTTCTAATGTATTATGTGCCCATTGTAATTCGTCATCAGTAAAATTAGATTTTTTAAAAATATCAGAAACAATCAGGTTTGCTGAATGTGCTGTACACCCATAAAAAAGAATAGAAGGAAATTTTATACAAAGAATATTCCAAGCTGCATGCATGTTAGCTGCATTATCAGTTACAACTGAAACTACAAAATTTTCTTTAAATTCTAAAATAACTTTTTGAATTCCTTCTGCAATATATTCGGCCATATGAGAATGTGTTTCTGTTGCCATTGATTTAAAAAAAATTGGTCCATGTGTTGTCAAAGTCATATAATTAATAATTGATTCATTGTGTTGATTTGACCATCCATCTGTTGAGATAGCAATAAATTTTTCTTTTGAATAAATTTTTTAAACTTGATTTTTGATTTCTCTATATTCATTACTTAACAAATTATTGCCAAGTAAATAACGGGATGGTAGATTATAGGTAGGACGAAGTGATTTTAAGGCTGCAATAAAAAACTTATTTTCAATTAATGTATGTGGAATACCACATGCATAAAATGCGCGAGCAATTTTTTTATCAATTGTTTTTTGTTCAATCAGATTTAATTGACGTGACAAAAAAGGATCTATTGGTAAATTTAATTTTTTATGAGCAATAGTAACAGATAAAGAATTAAAAATTGTAGATTCATTTTGATTTAAATTTAAAAAAGTTAGATATTTTTGACAAGAATTTAAGTGTGCACGAAGACGTTGTGCTTGGCCTGATAGTTTATGATTACAATAAATACATTCTGCGCCTGGATGTCCTTTTGGTGTTGTTGGTGGGTATTTCTTAAATTCATTCCAAGCAGGATCAGTCATTTTATCAATAATAAAGGTAAAACTTTTACTAAGATTGAATTAAAAATATGCATCTTGATTGACTCACTTTATATATATATTTTTTGTAGTATTTACGTAATCCAAAATTTTTAAAGTATTATTTGGCTTTGACTTTACGATAATAAGCCTTTTTTTCTTGTTTTATTATAATTACGAATTTTTTTGCTCGTAAATAGATGTAAGTGCAATACTATAATTGGCAACAATAACCAATTAAAGCATTGTGCTTATACCTCTACTTGTGAATTTTTAGATTTTCTCACATATAAATTAAACTATTCGTTTTTTAGTCTTATTACCTTTATAATTATGCTTAACTATGAGCCCTTAATTACTTTCTTATTTTAGATTAGTAATGGTAAATTCTTAAATTCCAATTCTAATGCCAGAGATTATGTATTAGCTCTAATGATGGATTGGTTTAAATTAAATCATACAAGCCGGTTGAATCAAAAAATTCAGATTTATCTTTTTTTTTTAATAATATTCATACTTTTATTATTATTGTTATGTAAATTAAACTATCTAATGTACAGTGTGAGAGACAAACCTAAAGAACTCAAAAATCTAAAAAGTCTGTGAAATGCTACTTGGAATATACTATAATTATTGCACAAAAGAACTATTGCACAACAATGCTCCGGGATCAAAAAATCGAATGATGATCTCCCTGCAGCAAGCCAAGCCCTATTGAGATAATTATACTAACGACCTTGGACCAAGTTTTTTTTCTGATTGGTTTGATATCTGTCAAGTTAATATTACCTTGATGGGTTAAGTATGTGGCTGTGGTAATGCAGTGTGATTGTGTCAATAGAAGAGAAAATGCTAGAGTAACAAAAAGGCACAGACGTTTTCTCAAATTCCCCTATGAGAAAGTTATAAAAAGTATTTTAGTTCTACCCAAAATAGAGCATAAAATTATGAAAAATTAGAGTTATACAGATTTTCAAATACATATAGATATCACTGATCAAATTATATGGTTGATAGAATATTTAGAATCTTCGAAATTCTTCACTATCATTATCACAAAAATCGTGGAGTTGCACCTTTTTGCAAACTGCTATAATATTTATATTATTTGGAAACCTATATGATTCTCTTAGAATCAAAAAATCTTCTGACACTGTAATTGTGAGATTATAAGATGAGGTTATAAATACTTGCAGCTGGTGTAAACTTATAATCTAATCTAATCTCTAAAATAATATAAAGTATAACTTCTACCCGATAAGGTTTTGAAATTTTTTAAAACTTACAAAGACTTTTATTATCTGCATATTAAAATATTATTTGTTTTTGCATTTTAGTTAATTTATATAGTTTAAGCTTATTATACTATAAATTATAGTATAATAAGCTTAAACTATATAAATTAACTAAAATGCAAAAACAAATAATATTTTAAAATTTAAAAATCCCAGATTTTTCTTTGAATAAACAACTTGAGTTCGACAATTTTGGTTGATTATATATTTGAAACAAAAATTTTTTGTATATCTTGTTTAACAAAAAATATAAATCTTTCTTAACCAATCCCAGATGTAGTATATACTACTTTGTTGTTTGTTATTATCCAAGTATATCGATTTAAATATTAGTCAGGTCAGATGCTAGTTAGAGTATAAAATATAGTTCGTATAGATAAAGCGTTAATATATTACTATAGAATAGTTTATAAATTTCTCATTACTGCATTAAGATTTTATATATTGTATAAAAAAAATAAACAAATTC